AAATTCCGCAGCTTGGAGAGCCTCCAAGGGAGGGAAAAGTGAAAATTTCATAGCTTGGGAAGCTGTCACGGCGGGGAAAAGTGAAAATTCCCTAGCTTGGGAAGCCCCCACGGGGGGGAAAAGTGAAAATTCCCTAGCTTGGGGAGCCCCCACGGGGGGGAAAAGTGAAAATTCCCTAGCTTGGGGAGCCCCCACGGGGGGGAAGAGTGAAAATTCCCTAGCTTGGGGAGCCCCCACGGGGGGGGAAAAGTGAAAATTCCCTAGCTTGGGGAGCCCCCACGGGGGGGGAAAGTGAAAATTCTTAGCTTGGGGAGCCCCCACGGGGGAAAACCACCCTTAGCCCCTTGTCACGGACCGAAATAAACCTGCGGTGTGGGCGGCCACCCCACGCGAAGCGGGGTGAATAGTTGTTTCATCATGGTGATGAAAATTCCCTGCATTAGCTTCGGTGGTTCGGGGCGTTTGGGTTTATATAATATCATTTAATTTTGAGATATTTGGAGGTTCCGGGGTGCCACCATCCGCAACCCCACCGTCATCACACCCCTCAACACGCTCCTCTGTTATGGGCACGAAACGGGCTGGGGTCGGAGACGCTGCTGGGTCCGCCTGACCAGTGGAACATCTGAACTGCTGGGTTTCGACCGTCCCTGGCCCCTTGGGCCCCTTCAGTATTGACAGTCAATTGATGTCAAGCGTCCCTCACGTGTCTCAAATTGGGTTGCAGCATCCTTCACATCTTAGCACTTCCTGAAAGATGGCCAGATATTCACATTGTGAAGTAAAATGTAGGGTTTCACAATTGTGACCGTATCCAAATCATTGATTCCACAAATACTTTGTCCAATTTGGCTCTGAAATTCAGTGTATATAGGTGTGGTGTGTATACATATGTGATCCTTCTTTCCGGGATTGAAGTTCGTCCGAGCACGCCTCGCCATTCTTGTGCTCTAGCAAGGAGCGCAAACGTCGCTTCAACTCTCTGTTCACAGCTTTGTAGTACTGATTGTCTCCTCGTGCCGCTGGACAGCCGCAAGTCGCGGTCAAACAAAAACAAATCTGACCCCTGCTGCAGGCAAATAGCATCTACTAATATAGAGGAAACACAAGCAATTCATATCTAATTCATATCTATTCCATATCTACTAGCCATTCTATTCTAATCCATTGGAATGAGCTGAGCCCCGCCAGCTCAGAGGACTGTTCAAAGAACAAAAAAATCTGAGGAGGCTGCGTCGCACTTGCTCCACCTGGCGACTTGGAAGCCACTGGGTGCTAAGGTAGATGATCGGATGGGTAAAAAACTGGCATCCTAGGACTCGCAGTACTCCAAGCACTCCCACCCCATCCCTGTGGCCACCAGTTTTTCGCTTTTTATTCTGTCCGCATATGGCATGTGAGGAAAAAGCTGCCAGTGCTTTGGTGAAACCAAGTTCGAGCAAACTCGGAAGCTGGTTCGAGGAGGCCACGCTTCTTAAACTGGAAGTTGTGAATCAGGATCACGCTCATATTTGTCATATGAAGACACGTTAGCAATGTGTATATACACCTATGCAGACATATGCGTGCATATCTATCCGAATCTATCACAGCTATTCATTCATCTCATCAGTAAGGCTCCTTGAACCCGTTTGGTGGGATCCTCTTGGGGCCTCTGTGGTCTCCTTTGTATCGTTGGTTCTACGGTGCGGTGATCACAGCACATCTTTAGCAAAGCTTGGCTGGGGAGCATCAAGAACCTGTGCTCTCCTCAGCGTCACGAATCGCTGGACCCGGATGAGTGATTCAGCCGAAAATGCGGCAAGAAAATACACAAATTGTGTATTGAGTATTGATGTTCGTTGACCCCTGAAAATGGGGGATGTATGGGTATGTGGCATGGATTAACCGACCCACGAAAGTTCGTCATGTGTTGTTTTGTGCTCTAGCCACTCCCAAAGAAAGAAGTGTGATCAACTGGGCGGACCAAGGTTTGCACTCTCCAATCAAAGTTCGGTGCTAACTGCAATCAAGGTCTGGAAGAACTTTGCAACGCTACCAGTATTGCTGTACTATAGCTGCTCAGCATCTTTTTCTTGTCCATCTTGGTAACCAAGGCTTTGGTATACGGTAAGCTGCACAGGATCATATCCATCTTGGAGGCCAGCCTGAATCGGGCTGAATGATCTGAATGTTGTCAATGTGAAAACCCATCAGCAAATTTGGTTGCATCATGTTGCATCTTTATTGAGCGGTTTCCAGGCGTGAAGGACATGGAAAAAGCATGAAAAAACCATGTTATATTGAGTAGTTTCACACTTTGAACATGAAGATCATGAAGCAGCTGCAGGTTGGACAGGGCAGGTCAGCCTTGTCATGTCTCGCTGGATCTTGTTCACATCAAAGCTACCTCGAGGCACCCCGTGGGGAGCTAGGCGCGGCTGGAGGTGAGCCGCGGTGAGCCAATCAGCCAACCAAGCAACGGAAAATTTCCCGCCCAGTTACGTGCCATGCCTTTGATTCGCAAAATGCCACTCTCAAACTCTTCAAGCGAGATCTCACCGTCCTGTTGGAAGGGCACAACAAACTGTGGCACACTGTAGTTGCCCTGATTTGATGATCGCCCACATTGGTGATGATTTGTGAATAGCCAACGTTTCGAATTCACAAAGATTCACACACGTGGCGTCAAAGAACAGGTGATGATCACAAAAGTGTTCTTTCCTAATTATGTAGCCTTCAAAGCACCGAAAGGCCGCTATCTTCCGCCTCTTTCTTCTCTACACTGTAGACTCTACACATGCATGGCCATCGCTCAAAATTCTTGACCCCTAAATGGGACATAGTGGACCCATTGGTGCCCAGTGGTTGCGGAGCCAAGCGTCCCCATCATCCAACATGTTGAACAATCCCACGAGGTCCGTGGTTTCGATCTCCAACTGATGTAGCCACAACTGCAGTCTGGGATGCTCCAGCAGCCTTTCAAACTCCTTGATGTCTATGTTGCCATCACCAGAAGTATCCACCTGCAACCGAAACACCTTCGGGATCAATGCTCCCACCCTTCAGATTTAATGCTGACTGGTTCAAAGTTCAACCTTTGATGTTGCATGCGGGCCATGTGTTATGCAAGAAGTCGTCGTCTTGCCCAGGTCAACCCTTGCAAAATATTAAACTTGGCAATATCCTACTGCATTACTGGCTACATGTCAAGACGTAGCAGCTGCCTGACGGAACAAGGTCGTCACTCTCTTCTGATATGTTTCCTGTGTCCTCGCTTTTTCCCGGGCAATGACTTCTTCATCGGCCTGACAAGCTTCATCACGGCTAGGCATACTCACTGGGCGAAACAAGCAGATGACAAACTGTGCAGCGGCAACTAGAGAGATCCATGAAGATTTACTTTTTGTTTGCAGCTCCATGATGTTCCATGAGGTTGTCAAAATCAAACATTTGGATCTCAATCAGGATTGTTGTTTCTTCAATCTGTTCCAGGTAATCAAAAGCTGCGCAGCACAGCCCAACCTGCGCTACTTTCATTGTGCTCTGAACAAACACAGCATTTACTACATTTAGCACCTCAGTTTGGATGGCAGAGATGGATTGCAAGGGTCATGTCTTTGGGGCACAAATCCCTTGTGATGTGTGACTGCTGTTCCACTGCTGGTGCTGTCTAACACACTAACCTCACTAACACCAAGGCAACTCCTGAAGGTCCATGGCAAAGCTTCCATGCTACACTGGTGAAAGCATCTGCTTGAGAATGCGACTGGTTATTGATTGCCCTGGCCTGACTCCAAGAACCCCCTGCACATTAGGGTTGCAGTCTTAGGCGCGGCAAATCCAACAAAACATCGGTAGACAATGAAGACGAGAGAGTACCACTCGCTGACATTATCGATGAGCACTCGGCAAGCTGGTGCCCAGTTAGCGAACAACACTTCAAACCTTAGCTTACAGCAGCAGGCAGCAGCAGGCAGCAGGCAGCAGCAGCGACTTGCACAGACAGCGCGCTCAGCTTTGAAAGACAACGTGGCTGTCACCTATGGACCTGTGGCGCATAGCAATCAAACATTCATGGAAATGCGACGATGTCATCGACATTTTTTTTTCAAACCATAGGTCTCGGTGAGACCCGTTGGCGCCACCACAGCAGCTGTTCGTCCTGTAGGTGAAAATGACTGTCAAAAAAGATCTTCTCGGTTGAGCACCCATGTTTTTATTTGTTCACGGTGCTCCCTGTTCTGTATTTGTGAAATGGTATATTGTGACATTTTCTGTGCCAGCATTCTTTCATTGTTTCATACGTCCACGCCGCTCTAGGGCGACCCACCCTTCTGTGCTCAACTTGTTGTGGCAAAAGATTTCTTGTAGCGAAAGTGGCTTGGTGTTGTGGGTGATCTCTTGGTCTTCTGTTTATATGCCCCAATACTTTTCCTCGCTTTTCCTGTAGAACATCACTTAATGGACGGGTGATTTCCTCTGCACCTAGGCCCATTTCCAAATTAGCACGTCTGTAGACTTCATGGTTGGTATTTGCTCGGTCAATGTAGGTTGCGGACATTTTCAATTTGTTTTTGAAACCTTTTAATTGGAAAGTATCCGGTTTACTTGCCGCGGTTTCTGTTGGTTGCAGTGCTTCCAGGCTGTACAAGGGTTTGGAAACACAAACTGCGTCAAATACTTGAATTTTCCATTTGGTTGGCACCCGCGCTTGTTTTCAGAACAAGTCAAGTCTTTATCTTCAGTATCGGCATTGTGCTCGAGATGCGTCGATTGATTTCAATCTTAGGGTTCACCCTTTTATTGATCTGCGTTCCCAAATAGATAGTTTCGTCCACACTTTTCAACTTTTGCCCGTCTGCCAACGTTATTTGATTGTTTCTGTTGTAGGTGATGCATACGCATTTGTCTCCGTTTATATAGTTTTATGTTGTAGTATTCTGATTCTTCTTCGGTGTATCTCAGGTAATCTTTTGCAGTCTGGGTGTTTTTGGCAATGACTAGAGTGTCGTCTGCGCACAAAAGTTCCTGAAACGTCATGTTATTGACAGTTTTCTGGAAAACGCATCATTGCTTTTGTGCCTCACATCGAAAAACAGTCCGTTCATCATGAAATAAATAAATACATAAATAAATAAATACATAAATAAATAAGTAAGGCGATAGCGGACATCCCTGTCGTATGCCAGAGTGCTGTTTTGTCCATTCGTTTTTTTTGGTTTTCTCGATTGTTTTGAAGAACGGATGCTCATACAAAGCCTTAATGTGGTTGATCATTTTGGCGTCAATCTTCATTCGTTCTTCAAATAACCTTTGGTGTGAGGTTCTGTCAAAGAAAATTAATATGATGTTTTGGTGTCCGGCTTCTGCAAGGTCTTGTAATCGGCGCACGCAGAATAGAGGTTCTGAAGTACTTTTGCCCCTCCTGAATCCAAATTGTGTGTCACTTACAAACTGATCAGTGGCGTCTGCAATTCTTGTCTGCAAAATTTGGTCAAAATTTTGTATGATGCATTCAGCGAAGAAATAGGACGGTACGATTCAGGAAGCTCTGGTTTGCCTTTTTATATAGAAACAACTTCTGCGTAGGCACAATCATCAGGGTACAACTCTTCAGTCCACATTTGGTTCAAGATTCTCGCCAGCAACCTCAGGTTGTCTTCGTCTAGATATTTGTAATTTGTACAATTCGATTGTGAGGCCGTCTGGGCCTGGGGCTTTGTCTATTTTTGATGAGCGTAAAGCTTCATGTATCTCCTCGATCGTGGTTGATCCTATATTGATAGGTGGTTGCGTGTCCACTACTTCTCTCTTGTCTACCTTGTCTGGTGGTAGGTGATGGGTACACGCCCAATGTCGTTGTAGTGGAACTGATTGGCCATGAATACTTTTCAAGTTTAACGCCTTTCCATTTTGCCCTGGCGGATGAAAAATCTTCGAGCATCCTGAGTTTCCACTTTTTCCTGTCGCATCTTGCTGATCTCTTGGTGCCTGCATTGAGTTGCTGTTCAAGGTCTGAGTTGCTCTGTACCCGAGCCGCTTGTCTATTTTCAATCAAATTCCAAGGTTGCTTCAGATAAGTACAATTGCTTTTGTTCGGTAGGCATTTTGGTTAGAAACTTTTCTGCGGCCTGCTTGATTGCTTGTGAGAAATTCTTGTCGTTCACTTGTACACTGTCCCGGGATGAACAAAAGTCGAAATTTGCTCGGATGTCATCGTTGAATCTCATCTTTGCCTGCTCGCTTGGGTTTCTGAATCTGGCAGTCTTTCGTCGTTTCGAACAGTCTTTCTTTCCAAGTTTGATTCGAATGTTTGTGGTTAAAACTGCATGGTCTGTATCAAAAGCAATATCAGGTCTACTTTCAATATCAACTATTGCATTTTTCCAGCGTTTTGGACACAAAATGTGGTCAAGTTGGGCAAATCTATCAGGTGCCCATGGCGCCGCAAAACCCTCAGTCTCAGAAAACTTGAACGTGCACTGCTTTGTGGCGGTTTTGAGAAATACGTGCTTGTGATGATGTAATTGTTATATCTACAAAAATCAATAAAATACTGCTCTTGTACGTATCCAGCGCCGTGCCCAAAAGTGTGGTGCCCCATGATGTCAAATTCAGAAACTTGTCTGCCATGAATTCTTGCGTTCATTCATACCCCCAATGAAGCATGGGGCGTTCCCAGCATGCGCTTCACTCGGTCTGCCACTATGCGGAGCATATAAATTGATAATGTAGTACTTACGTCCTTTTGCTGAAATGTTCAATTTCATCATGCGGCCGTTCACGGGAATGCAATCTAAAATGCAATGTTTGATTTGGGGCGAGATGACAAACCCTACTCCATAGTGTGCTGGACCTCTGTTAGCCTGCTTTCCTGGAAAAAAAAAGTGTAACCGTCGTGTGATTCAAATGCTTGTTTGGTTTCTTGTATTGCCATTCTGTCGATATTGTGCTGCTGCATTATGTACGTTAATTGCTGTCTCTTGGATAGGGCTGCTAGTCCTCTACAATTCAACGTAGCGATCTTGAGTTTCTGGCCATACTTCAGCGAATTGGCGGCTTTAGTGTCATCATGCTTTGCCACATACTTTTGCTGTTTTGGGTATTGGCTGCCTGTCTTGGTGAATGTTTGGCAGAATCGGGTGGACCCGTTGTGTAAGTAGCGCTTTCTGTGGATCATGTATTGCTTCACCAACTTCGTTTTGCTGGCAAGCTTTTGTTTTGAAAAGGTCTCGAGAAGGGCCTTCCCGGAGGTTTGGTTTGGGAAACTGTGGTTTTGTGCATTCTTGGCTGTAGCGGTTTCCTGGGTTGCTGTTGGAACAAGTGCGCTCGCAACCAGTCATCGACATTTAAAGACCAGAAACATCGTCAAGAGTGTCTTGGTGAAGGTGCCATAGTATCGAAAGACTGCAAACCTCGCCACAGGATCCGCTGTGTCATCCACCATGTAATCGCTCAGCATGTAGGAGATGGTCATCCCAGCGCTGATCTGAATGATTAAAAGCAGCACCAAGGACCAGAAAAGGATGCGCAAACTGGCATAGATGCACTTGAGGAGTAGCTGCAGGGATTCCAGCACCTGCCAAACTTCCACCCCGCGCTTTCCAAAGGACGACATAATATATGTCTACACTGGCAGTTTCAGCCCCCAAAAATCCCACAGTATTTAGTCAAGCTTGCTCAAACTCTGAGTTCCAAGGATGCAACATGATTAGCAATCAAGAACTGCAGCTGCGGTGCAAAGTCAGCCCTGCCATGCCCTGCCATGCCCTGCCCCATCTTCACCTGGGACATCTTGACGACTCTTAGTGCTCGCAGCAGTTTCCCCAGCCGCAGCATGCGAAGGAAAGTGGGGGAGATCGGCAGCGCGGCCGCAAAGAGCTCCGTCCACGAGCTGCAAACCACCAAGAAGTCGATCCAGTTGAAGAAATTCCTCGAGTCAGCTGCGGCCAGGTGCGGCCAGTCCACTTAGAGTCTTAGAGAGCTTTTATTGGGTGGCCATCATGGCCATTCAACAACCGCCCACAGGCACAGACGGTACAGCGAACAATGGAATCCGATCATTCAACAGTCACCATCGGTGGATGTAAACTGCAAAAATAATGCAAAAATGACATTGGATCTAATCGTATCTATTTCGTCCACTTCTTAGGTGGGCTTCCTCATCATGACATTGCCTGGGATAGCTTGAAGGTGCAAGGGGGCTACGAATGGAGAACATCCATTAAAATCACTAATTAAATGACAGGGCCCGAATCCAGTCAAAAACCTAGAATAGCACCGTCACACAATCCAGGGCTCCAGCAAAGACATTGACTACCCCGATGGCTACACATACATTTTGCCCTCCAGGGCTGCTGGCTCAATTCAGCGAGTTCCGAATGACAACAAATTGACTGTGCTACTAGCTGACCCGCTTCCCATCTTCACATCCCCCTTTCCAGAACCTCTGACTTCAGCAAGCTGCTTGAAATAGGATAGACCAATCTTCATTAGCCTTATCAGCCTCAGACGTGGCAAAGAAGACTTGAGAGCAGGCGGAGGCGGACGAAAGGTAGTGTAGTGGGAGAGGAGTGGTGTCAAAATGTTGCGCCCCTAAGATGATACACCAAAAACTTTTTTGCGCAGTCTAAGATGATTTTATCCAGAGCATGACTGCATGATACGGTGTCTTGTGCAGCGTGAAATGATGCACGAAAAGGGGTTTATTTAAAACCCCTTTTTAAAACCCCTTGCAGCAACTGTTATTGAAGCTGAAGCAAACCAATTATGCTGGACTATAGGGACATCTCCCTCATGGAAAGTGTGCCTCTAATGTGGGGGCCCGTGACCGCGTCACCCGTGGGAATTGAACCCATGACCATTTTCGGGGGGGGGGGCCCTTATAATTGATATCCAATACATAACGGCGAGAATTCCATGAATTCCACGGGCTGGCCCCCCAATACCCCCTAAGCTTGTGCTGAAGCACGGAGAACTCAGGTAGCTGACGCTACCTTTCGTGATTTGTTGAATGCAAAACCGATATATAACCCTGAGATAGACTCACACCATCCCATTCCAACAAAAGGTGTTCGAATCTGCACATGCATATGAGTATGACGCTACCATCCTTTACATACGCGCATGTGCATGCGGGGAGGTAGGGACGAACGGATGGACGCATGGAAGGACCAAGGAACACAGGAAAGGCTAGTACTGTGAATCCTCTTTTGATCCCTCTTTACATGGGTTTCCCAAATGCTTCACATTCCGAAGGTCTCTCCTTAGTCTTTCTTCCGAATTCAAGGCCAGTAGCATTTCCATTGTGAATAGAACCGCGAACAAGACATCCCCGATCAGGAAGAATTCCTGCATGTGGGGCCATCCAGCCACAATATCATATGTGTAGCCTGGGTAAACAATGCTATGCCCGATTCTGTGGCCGTGGTATTGCAATTGCGCTGCCATCAGCATCAGGTTGACACACAAAAGGATGGCAATGGCAAACTCAAAACGCGGACCCAGAAAGATGTCGGCCACGCGCGTGACCAAAGCTCTCTCTGTCTGACGTTCTTGCTGGAGGATTTCAGACTCCAGGCCTTGAAAAATAACATCATCTGTGTCTTCCCTGCTTTTACTCCGCGTTGATGGGGACAGACTCGGGGAAGAGCCCCAGCCCGATAAGAGTTTTTTGTTGTTGGCGTCCTTCACCTTTCCCTCTGGTATCACATCCTCTGGGATGGATGCATCCAACCAATCATTTGCATTGGTCAGCTCAGCTGCTACTTCCGCAGCCCCATCTGCGTCTCCATCATCCTCAGGGCTGCAGCTTTCCCTCACCAGCAGTTGATGCTGACGCGCGGGGGCTGCCACAGCCTTCCCGACCGGGCCGACCGGGACAACCTGGACCGGCGCCAGAGCCACCGTCGGCTTGGCCGAAGGCAGCTTGCCACAGGCACCGCGCAGCTCAGCGACTTCGCCGCGGAGCTGGGCGAGCTGCGCGGCATGCAACGTGGTCAGCTCCGCCACCAGCTCCTGGAGAAAATGTCCGACGATGTGTGATGTATTTAAAATGCAATTGGAAATTGTCGGTTGGATTCGGTAGAGCACTGTGGAATCTGATAATAGCCTTTATCAAACAAAAAGTATCCATTGGTCTGGTGGAAGCATGTAGGTTATCTAAAAGCATCTATTTGGGGGATTGAAACTTAGCAAAGGCGGCGATGAGTTTAATAATCCTGGGTCAATATTATAGCTGGATGGTACTAGTTGGTTGGGGGAAATTGCCCACGGAAGCTTGGAGATAACAGATAACTTGAACGTCGCGGGATTTCTTGCTCAAAATCCCATATTACATCATTATAAATTGACTTAAACCAATTATGGAACCAAAAGGCACAGTAGCATGCAATCAAATTGGGCGGGAATCAGTTCCAACTCCATGCCCCTCATCCCCCTGGAAGTGCCTTGCCTGGAATCGTTCCTCTTCGAGGCCACGAGGTACGGTGGTGCTTTCCATCTTTAAAATGCGCGATCCGGGCAGCAACTGGTATACAACTACATCATCTGAGCCCGAAAGTGGCAACCCGGTGGCAAATCTTGGCAACATCTGCAAGCTGGTTGGCTTTCTTTTTGGGTTTGCGCTTCGGACCATAACCTTTTTTGGGGATTTGATAATAGCTCAACAATAGTGCGGTTGAGCTTGGTGGCTCCAACACATCATCAGCCAAACTGGGCACCCAAAAACGGGGAACGGGGATGGTAAAGAATCCAAAAAAGATTGGCCAGCCACAATGTGCCCAACCGCCTCTTCCACTTCACCCACTGGGGTCGGAGTGCTCTCATCAGCTTCGGTGGCAGAACGTGGGGCCTTAGCAGGGAGACCCAGAGGAAAGCCTAGGAGCCCCAACAGGTGGCCATGGCAATTGCCCCTCCGTTTTCTCATTGAACTTGCGAAAAATGATATGCAAAATGGCGGATTTCGCTGCAGTTGCTTAGCGTCATGTTGGGTCATCAGGGGTATAAATCTCAATTGCACCTGCCTTCCACCCCTGACAGCTCCCTCAAGCCAAGTGGCCGATAGCTGGCCTGAGTAGAGAAAGCATGTCAAATTGGAAGAATCACGACTGTGGATAAGGCTGAACCCCTGGAGACCCTTCTACTGCTCCGCACTAAATGTCCAGCCTTCTGCGGGCTTTGCTCTGGCAAAACTCGCTGGGAAAAGAACAACCCACCATTGTTAGACATTGCTGTAAATATTGTTGCTGCTAGATGCCTTTTCTATGGAAAACGGGATTTGTTCATCTCAGGTTATCAATTCTCACTGCTACCCAGCGGCGCAGCAAGGATCGAATGCGGCCCTCGTAGTCCTTGGTCACCTTGGCGATGGCCTCAGTGGAACTGTTTGACACCAACGAAATGAAATGCATCATCCAACTGTGGGCAACGATTATAAAATATCCCCAGTGAAAGCCTCCATCATTCCATCATTTCCATCATTTCCATCATTGTATTCACCCCATCACATCACACACTGCAGCCGGTTGCACCTTGGTCGCATTGGAGTCTTGTCTCCTCAGCACCTGCTGCAGCTCTTTCACCTGCGGCTTTGGGCGGAACAAGTAGGGACTCCAGGGACCCAAGAATACCAGGAATGCCGTTCAGAATTCCAGCCAGAAAATATATGAAAATGTGGGGTTCGTAGCAAGTTGAATGTCCAAACTCAAACCAGGCCCCTCGCCTGCTGATCCCGCTCCGCCAACTGTGCTTCCGCGGCTTCAAGCCTCTGCCAATGCCTTGTGACGAGCAAATGCAGGTGTTCCTGAGAAACTATGACGTGAATTGGGTGGAACTCACAATCAAATTGATTTCGCGGGGGCCTTTATCTTGGAGGCTGGAAACTCAACCTGTGTAACTAGCATGCCCAAAAATTGTTGCAAAGCTCCCCAGATAGAAGCCCAACATGGCCACGGGCACTGCTTCTCGCGTTGTCGCAGCTTCACCAGCTTCTCACAGTAGCCTGAGGAATTTCTGCACAGTGCATGACACGCTTCAGGAGGAGGATCATGAGCGAAACTAGCCTCACCCTTCAGTCGGAGTGTGTTCATGATGGTTGAATAATTTATTCATGCGTTCCCCTCCAATGAAATTGACCTTTTCATAAGCGATGATAGATCTAAATACACAAACAGTTTGAAACAAGAACACCGAAGCAAAACATAATCCGAATTCCTGTGCTGTCCGAGAAAAAAAGAGTTTCTCTAAATCTCATGGTTGATCATCATATATCATCATGTTCCCCATGAAAACTGCCACAAAATGCGGTACCTCCCATTTTGGAAGCAACCATGAGCAACCCACCAGTTTCAAGGAACGTCTCAGCAGCTCCTTGCCATCCTCCGCTGGGATCCGTTCCAACTCCGCGTCCAGCGACCCGGGACCAGTCTGCGCGGTGGAGCGGAGGTACTGCTGTGCCTGCCCAGCAGTGGGACAGCAGATCACCATCTACATCCATCTACAATTTCTACAGTCTCTATCTAAACAACAAAAAAAAATTGTAATAGATGTAGCAAATGCATATAAATGGAATCAATATGCATCCATGTGAGCTCCATGTATGTAGTTACGTATGATTGTATGATTAGGATTGATTAGCTATGTCTGCATCACGTGGAGAATCCGACAATACCATCTCCATCCATCTGCAAAGTTCCCAGCCCAATGATAATGCATTTAGATATATTTAGATGCTTTTATACTTCTATAAGCCAAATTATAATTATATATATATTATAGTATGCATTTTATAGATTCTAAATTCTAAAGCCACCCGCGCTGCCGCGCCTTGGTGATTCGAGCATCTCGGAAGTCCAACTCATCCTGCAAGCCCTCCAGCCGTTCATCAATGTCATGCAGAATGCCTTGGAGCTGAGATCTTAATTGCATTTAATTACGTGTTTTGTTACGTTTGTTGCTGGTCTTTTTGGCACTCGTTCCAATGATATTGTTCAATTGGGTGAATGGCTCGAAACAGGGAATATCAGGGAATGCCATTCACCCCACAGAAATTCAAAAGTGACAGGCAGTGACAGGCAAGTTTGCTGCTGTTTCTACATGAATGAGGAGAGGAGCCCTAACAGTTTAACACAGGGCATACTGAAACAGAACAGTTGGATACCCGCACTGGGATGATCCAAAAGCGTCTGACGTAGGCCCGGTGCTGGTTGCTGACCCGCAGAAGCAACGAAAAAGTATACGGTACCGATATGTTCATATCCAAATATAATATAATATATCCCAATTATCTCCAATTAGTTCCAACTATCTTATAATTCTCCCAATTGCTCAACCTCACGTATCATCCCTCAGTAATTGGTCACACCTTTACAGCCTCGCTACTGTGCCC